GGGAGCCCGATGCGGGACTCGATCCCGGGACTCCAGGATCACGACCTGAGCCGAAGGCAGTCGCTTAACCAACTGAGCCACCCAGGCGCCCTACACGGTGTATTTTAACCAACCCCTCCAACAAGGTTATGCTTATCATTCCTTACCAATAGTTACAAATGAGTTCCATACAACACTGAAACTACACTCTACAAACTGCCGGCCATGGTTTTTTTTTTCCATGTATTTTTGTCCTGAAAGGAGCCAAAGAAATGGAGAAATTTAGTCACTTCCGTTTCAGTGGTTCAAATCTACTGGGCCCCAAATGCACCGTACATTAGAACCTCCTGTTCATTTTTACTTTTCTAGCAGTCAGAGAAGAATTTTACGTGATGCCAGTTGGAGAAACAGGGTGGAAATCTGTTTGAATGATGTCACAAGATAAACCCATCTTCATTTTCCTGTAATTATTTCAATTAGGTCTGTTCACTTGACTACACTAAGTTTTAAAACATGTTTTATTTTTCCAGATGGAGTAGATTCTCAGCCAGCAATGACTTGGAGGGGAGGATTAATATTTTGATGTTGCTTTTGGCGGAAACTGCCCGGCAATTAAGAAAAATGCCCAGATTAACACATACCTCATTGTAAAACGCTTGCTTGACATATACAATGGCAAGATTTCTTCACAACTGATATTCAGAATTGAACCAGCTTTTGGTCAGAGTAAAAATTCTGCTTTCAGATGAAAAACAGCAGAACTGAGTCTGATAAGGGTGGGAGAGGTTGTCACACTGCACCCAAACCCAGAGCAGTTCTTCAAGGTTAAAGAAAGTTCAGGCAATTGTTTTTCCCAGAATACTTTCCATTTCCATTCATCTCATAACAACAGCCAGAATCTAAGCAAACCAAAAGCACTGAAAACGTCTCTCAACATTCCTGATCCAACTAGCAACAGGAATTTTTAAGAAAACATTGCGAGAAAGAATATCCTCTGCTATGTTCAGTCTTTGAGCATAAGCTCCATAAGCTCCAAACTTCACAAAATGAAGTTAACCTACGGGGTAATGTGATTAGTTGAATCACTAAACATATCAAAGTTAACTCGATGATTTTTATGATCGCCAGTATTTTGAAAATTTCCCCATTTCCTCCCACCCAGAAAAGACAAGAAAACTAGTGAGTAAAAACCACAGATGATAGCCTCTAAAATTGTACACCTAAAGGGGCAACCATTATTTAAATAGCAATTCATTGTTCAAAAAACCCAAACTGCTGTTCCAAATCCTCAAACATCAGATTTATTTTTTTTCTTCTTATGGAAATAGCATGTGCTATTCAAACCTTAGTGTTTTCTCCTTTTGTTTCTTGGACAATGTTAGTAGTTTGGACTAGGAATGGTGACCAAAAAAGTTTACAAAGTCTGAATATGAGCCATGTCTTTCCACGTAAAATAATGAAATCATTATTCTCTTTTGGTAACGAGATGCACTCAAGCAAATTAGGTATTTTTCTACAATACACTAAAACTAGATCACACAAAACCCATTAGATGTCCAGCTTTAAGATACAAATATATATTATAGCTTTGTTCTCCCAGTGTAATATTTTAATAAATCTTTGTTGAAGTTGAGGATGAAAAACTCAAAACCTTTTCAAATTTTAGCACCTCGTGGGTTATGGCAAATTTATCTGTAATCAGAACAATGACAAAAACTTCAATGAGTGCTTAGTTGCACAATGAGTGCAACTAAACATATCACCCATCTGATTGAAAAATAACGTGGATGCACATCCAAACAATGTAATAAATGAAACTTCCTAACGCAGAGAACCTCTAACCAACATAAATATAAAATACGCTAGTCATTCTATTCCCATTTCAAAAATTAAACTATATCACTGAGTTATCCGTGAAATAAAGTATTTTTCAAGGTGTATCAATCACTCCTTTGGGCTAAAGAACTCTAATATTATAAAAGGCAAAAATCCCAGGGCGCCTGCGTGGTGCATTCGGTGAAGCATCCAACTCTTGGTTTCGGCCCAGGTCATGATCTCAGGGCGGTGAGATTGAGCCCCGCGTCAGGCTCTGCACTTGGTGCAGAGTCTGCTTGGACTCCCTCTCCCTCTGCCCCTGCACTTTCTCTCCCTCCTTCTCTCTCTCTCTCTCTCAAATAAATCTTTTAAAAAAAATAAAAAATATAAATAAATAAATAAATAAAAGGCAAAAATCTTACAGGCAACACCCCTACCACACGTTGGACACAACTAACAAAAGAAACTCACTATAGGTTGGAAGTCACAATCTGGTGGCCTGCAGACAGGTTCCACGTGGCCTCCGCAATGCTTTCAAGAATTGCAATCAGTTGCCAACGTAAAAAATCTGGCAATTGCACCTAGATTTACAAGATGTTTTGAAAAAATCAGAAAACCCGGTAACCCCGGACCCTCAGTCCTGCGTGCCAATAACTGGACTGAGTTGTAGCTGGCGCTCTCCAGATTGTTATCGCCGCCACTGCTTCTGTCTCATTCCCAACTTGTTTTGCTCAATTTCACGATCTGCCTGACTCCGCTAAAGCATACGAGTTTTCAGACTCTGCTCTTAATAAGGCAAATTTAAAGTACTGGGTCCACTCTACGCCTAATGGGATTTCCATCTCTCAAGAATAACTTCCAGCCAGTTCGTTACTGGTATTCCACTTTCACTGTGAAATAATTTTAAAACATAAACCAAATTGATGAACGTAACTATCACCTGACAATAGAAAGCTTACAAAGATTACTCTGGATCAAGGGGTTGCCAGTAATACATAGTATTTCCAGCCTAATAAACCCATGAGATTGCTGTGTTGACAAAGGCCAAGTAGGCTGACCCTGTTCTTGCTCCCTGGCACCATGGGGCATAGGGAGGCTGTATTTATAATTAGGTCTCTTACATTTACTAGGTGACGGGGATGTTCAAAATCCAGATGTGTCCTGGTTAGTGAGCTTGTATGCCCCGAGTAAAGCCCTCCGTTTAAGCTCCCATTCATTATTCCATTGACTCCATTAGGGATTTTATGGTGAAGATGGGAGCAGCCATTGCTGAGACCTCCATTGCTTATGAAGCTTCCATGAACATTCCCATTTATCCGATTTGTGCCAGGCAGAGTAGTGTATTCCACCATCTGCCCATTAATATCTGACCCCTGGCAGAGATATCCTGGAGGGTCATATTCTGTTAAGAGAGAACAAAAAAGAAAAAAAAAGTAAGATAAAGAAAAAGACAATCTTCTTGTGTAGGCAGTTTTATTAATAAACCCCTAAGAAACTACAAATACACTAAAATAAAATGCCTTAAATGTGTTCACTTAAAGTCTAATTATGAGATATGCTTTAAGAAAGTTACTGCTCTTCCCTTGTGTGGAGATAGCTAGGAACTCTAAGTTAATTAAGGCTTTGTTAATGGGAAGAGAAATTAACCAGAGAGAAATTACTCAAGAGAATTAATATATCATGCAAGTTGAAACTATCTGAGTACTGGCAACATTAAGAAAAAGTGTTTAAACTCCCACACACTTCAAAGTGCCGAGAGAAACAATAAAACAACAACAAAAGGCAAACATTAGATAGGATATTTTAAATAGTAATAAACAACACTTTTAAATGAAAGGATGGAGTTGTGTATATGTTCACTGACTATCAGTTCCTTCATTAACATAGTCCATGCGGAAGTTGTGGGGTACTAAAGGCAAAAGGCTAATTATTCCATTTCCTTATATTAAAAGCACTTAAATAGTTGCCTCAAAATTCCAATTTCCAGAGGCACACTTGCTAGATTTATTTAGAACAAGTGCAATATCCCTTAGAAAATACAGCACCTAAACTGTACAGGACTTGTTGGCAGAGTTTTGGTAAATTCTTCAAAGGTATTAGAGCAAGCCAAGACTGGATTAGGTGTCCTTCCTCCTATTACTGAACTTCTTACAGGTGAGTTACTGTCAGCCTACCTGCTTATCTTTTCCATTAAACTATAAGCTGACAGGGCAGGGGACAGGTTTACTTTTTTACCACTGTATCCCCATTGTCTAACACAGTGCCAGGCACATCAAAGACAGTCAATGAGTATCTTCTGAATATGACTGAATGAACATCACTACCATAAATTTCCATCTTTGAACATATCACCAAGTCACAGAGGAAAACGACCTCAACCAGATTAAGCTTGCTCAGACGACCAGAGAAACACTTTCCTTTAAACGATTCAGTGCACACTCCCACAATTAAAGTCAATGGCACCGAAACCAATCAAATGATCTCTCCAACCCTTTTAGCCTGGCACCATCACCATCATCACCACCTCTCTCCCTGTCTATCTCCTAGAAAGCACCAATTCAATAAAAACAAATCACCTTTTTTCCCCTTGAGCTATTAGCTTTGATTCTCTTATTCTGGGGACAGAGGGGAAACCAAAAAAACCTCCTCCCACCAAAGACTACAGTCTCTGCTTGCTCCAATTCCCCTGTCTGGGAGAACAAGAAAGGTGGGAAGGGGAGGGGAGAGAACTAGGGGAAGAAGAGGGAAAAGGGGTTCTAGGTTATCTGTTTCCATGTGGCACCATCACTCCCATTACTAGATACACGTAGGGACCAGGCTGGAGCAGTATTGGTACATCAGGGACTGAAACAGGACCACGTCACCTTCATTTGTGTCATTCAGTAACAGTAACTTAGAAAAGTTTTCCTTTCCCTCATTTCCAGCCTTTTCTATTCCTGTTACCAAGACTTGTACCCATACGGAGGTATTCCAGCAACACTTCCAAAGCTCATGCTTCAAGAACGCATGCTCTTTGGTGGTCTGACAAAGCCAGAGTTTCCCAGCACAAAGTCGGCTATTTACTTAGAGACCTGCCTGGTTTGGGCTTTGCTGTTTATTTCTACTGGGCAATTTCATGGGATGCTCCACTTCCTCTGGCTGACAGCTACAACAGTCTTAAAGTCTCCTCCCCTGACCGCAGAGTGCCTGATGTGCTTTATACCGTGACACTAACCCATGGAAGTATTACAGATCCATATTTATCCTGACGATACTTTCCTGGCCATCTTTAGAAAAAGACCAGGAAATATCGATAAATGGCTTACTCTGTATGGTGTTTTGCTGACGGTTCTTCCAGAGGCACATCGCAATGAAAACCATGAGAATGAGGACCATCACACCTAGCACGCAGCCAACTATCAGATACAACATGTCGCTGCTTCTGGTGGGGCTGGTTGCAGGCCCAACGTTTCGTCCACTTCCCGAAGAATTTGGAGGGGTACTCAAGTCTTTGACAGGATACTCAGAAGCTCCAGGAAGGCGTTTTACTAGTTGACATATAAAGGAAAACATGATGTCAGAGTGAATACAGGCTCTATGAGACGGTTTACTCTCTGACGGAGGTCTGGTTAGGAATGCAAGCCAGTCTGTTTACACTTGTTACTGAGATGATCTGACCACCAATGAGTCACAAGGAGGGCTCAAAAGTTTAAAAATCTGATGTGCCAAAGTCTCAGTCCACAAATTCTAGAGAAATCATAAAGTCTGAGAAACAAATGCCCTCAGTCCAACCCAAACTGCTATCTGATTATCTGCTCAACTGTATTTGGAGAAAACTCCCAGTATTTCAACTTATGGGTGGGATGAAAACTCCTTTCTATGTGACACACTTTGAGCTGAATAAGACTCAAAGTGACATATTTTATGCCTCTTTTATGTGATTGAGATTAAAGATATGACTGTGGACCAAACAATTATATACAGTCCCCAAAACCTTATGCTTAATATTAAGCATTCCCAAACCAATGACCTCTGGAATCCATGTAAATGTGGTTCTTTTATCCAATTTGTTGATATTCTGGAAAACAGTGACAACAAAAGCTAATAACAGGTGGGACTCAAACCCCATTTTCTCTGTCCTCAAATAACACATTCTTCATGCTTTAAATGCCATAGAAAAGCAGCAAAGCATAGTGGCTGACAGCTTGCTCTCTGGGACCAGACTGCCCAGGTGCATATCCTGTTCTACCACGTATCCTTAGCTGCATGACCTTAACCTCCAGGAACCAGTTTCTGCATGTGGGAACTCGAGATAAGAATAAAAGCTCTATCGTAAGGCTGGAATGAAGAGTAAACGAGTTAATCATGGAAAGCACTTAGAACAGAGCCTGGCACATGGCAGTATTCAATCAATTTTGTTACTATTAGGTATTATATTATATTTCCTGTTATGGCTCCTAACGACCCAGTGGAGCAGAGCGGTCCTTAAAAAATTCTACTTCAATAGACATTATGTTGGGGTTCAAATTTCTAGCACCTTTATGCAGAAGAGGGGTAGGAATCCATAAAGAAGAGGACAGTTTTCAAAGGAAAGAGGTTTCCAACACTGAGAAGTGGATGAATACTTGGCAGAGACGCTAAAGGAAATTCCTACTTCAGGTGGTATGTTGGATTAGACAATTCTAAGGTCCCTGCCAATTCTAAAGAAAACAAACAAGTTTCTGAAGCAAAATAGATGTTGCAGATCATACATTAAAGATCACGGTTACCCATGGGGAAGTCCATCAGGTTTATTCGCTCTTCATTTACTCTTTATTTATTCATAATTCTACCAAGCTTGATGATTTTGCCAGTCTCTGCTAAAGTGAAAAATTTCTGTGGTGGATGGTGAGTGAGACAGATGCATCAACATCAGTAAGAAGAGAAAGCTAATACTAGGAAGAAGAAGAGGAGGAGGAGGAGGAGGGGAGGAAGAGGGGAGGAGGAAAGGAGGAGGAGGGGGAGGGGGGTGGAAGAAGAAGAGGCTAAGAGCATGAAACAAGAAAAGTGAGATAAGAAACCAAAGAACTACAGAAAAATCATGACAGTCTATGATCTTTAAGGGCAGGAGAAAATGGCTGGTGTCAACACCTCGATCATTCCTGGAAAACCTTACTGAATTACTAAAGATATGACAATCATTGTTCATAACAAGAACCTTGACTCGTTTCTTAAAAGCAGAGACTATGTATCCTACGTTCTCTCTTTAAACAGGCTGGGAATTGTGTCACACATTTTAGAAAGTTATTCAATATAAACGGTTAATGTTTTAAAGAGGTGTTTTCATTTGTCAGTGACCTGAAAGTCTGTAGGTAGAGCCTTTTCTTCCCCAGCAAAGTCCATTAATGAGGCATACTCTTATAGACACAGCTATGGTATAATACTATTTAAACAATGCAGTTATTACACTGTTGTCTGTGTTTGGCCTGGCTCGATTCTTAAATGTCTTGGGGACAGAGATGATAAATTTCATTTTTATTTAATTTTGTCCCGAGTATTACAACACTCTAGAGGCAAGTAAGAAACGTCCATTAATATATCACAGTGACTACAACAAAAAGCCCCTCAAATATATACTAATCAAAGTAAATCTAAAGGTCTGTGTATATACCTATGTTTAAAGGCAGATTTAGTATGTGGGTTTTGCAGCAAAGTCACATAACTTAGCATTAAAAGATGAAACTATGTCTTTTCTTTACAATTCAATTCTTCTGAGCCTCAGTTTCTTCATCGTTAAATCGACATCATAAAATCACCTGTAGCAGACACTAAAGGGCTGCCTGGCCCATTCAGCAGCCTTTTCCTCCCACGCTAGCAGAGCCCCAATTTCATTCAGCTGTCCGCTCAAACCCCACACAACTCGAGTAGGTCCTGATCAATCATTCTATTCCAGGGAATGGTCTGGGAAGCGGGTGACTGAGACTAGCCACTGAGACTAGCAGGGGGTGGGGAAAGGTGAGGACTTTGGGAAATTTCCTCTTGTTCTTTAAAACAGATGCAAGCTAAAACAGTCCCTTTTTGGGGCACCTGGGTGGCTCAGTCGGTTAGGCGTCTGCCTTCGGCTCAGGTCATGATCCCAGGGTCCTGGGATCAAGCCCCACATCAGGCTCCCTGCTTCAGTGGGGAACCTGCTTCTCTCTCTCTCTCTGCCTGCCGCTCTGCCTACTTGTGCTCTCTCTCTATCTCTGTTAAATGAATAAATAAAAAATCTTGGGCGCCTGGGTGGCTCAGTTGATTAAGCGACTGCCTTCAGCTCAGGTCATGATCCTGGAGTCCCGGGATCGAGTCCCGCATCGGGCTCCCTGCTCAGTGGGGAGTCTGCTTCTCCCTCTGACCCTCCTCCCTCTCCTGCTCTCTGTCTCTCATTCAATCTCTCTCAAATAAATAAATAAAATCTTTAAAAAATAAAAATAAAAAAATAAAAAATAAAAAATCTTAAAAACAAAAACAAAACCCAGTCCCTTTTCCTGTCAGATTAACTGTGACTGGACACCAGTTTGTAAATAGCCACGTTAGCTGTTTCTATTATTGACGTGGAGCACCACCATCCTAAAAACAGAAGATACTTCGGGGCGCCTGGGTGGCTCAGTTGGTTAAGCGACTGCCTTCGGCTCAGGTCATGATCCTGGAGTCCCGGGATCGAGTCCCGCATCGGGCTCCCTGCTCGGCAGGGAGTCTGCATCTCCCTCTGACCCTCCTCCCTCTCATGCTCTCTGTCTCTCATTCTCTCTGTCTCAAAATAAATAAATAAAAATCTTTAAAAAAAAAACAAAACAAAACAGAAGATACTTCACAGTCAATCTACGTATGTCAGCAGAGTTGAGAATTTCAATTTAGCATTAGCGCACTGCTGATGCTGAACTGAATCACCGCACTTAGGAAGTAGACAGTGTTATGCGTAACTGTCACACAAGAAACCACTTTAAGTGTACGAAGCACTTTTCCTGAAAATTGTATTTTTGTTCTTAAGTATTCTAACTCTTGCAGCATTCTAATTTGCAGAAATTATTCAGCAAATACTTCTACTCTCTTCGTGAAGAGAAAAAAGAAGGGAAGTGACTTACTTGGCGTCACACGGAAATTAATGAATATGATCGATGCTTACGTAAACTAAGTTTTAGACAAGTGCTCTAGCCAACATTCTCTATTTTCTGTTGGGACGGTCTTAATGCCTCCACCTAGGAAATGGTCCAGAGCAGACGCTTCCTTAGGTAAACATATCAAGAGTCAGAAGGAATAATGCAGAGTTTAATTCCAGTTCCATCCGGGGGAAAAAGCACGAGCTCTCATTCCTCTCCTACCTTTAGTTTCGCAGATCATCACATTGCTAAACTCGCTTTCTCCCCCTTCGTTGAAGCACTGCATTTTAATATCGTAGGAGGTTTCTGGCTGCAGATGGCCAATCATGTGCCACTGCTTTGAACCTAGAAAGGAAAAATAAATGAGGATTTTACATATCGTATGACCTGAAGGGTGATCTCAAAATGAGATTGGAACAGGGCGCCTGGGTGGCTCAGTTGGTTAAGCGACTGCCTTTGGCTCAGGTCATGATCCTGGAGTCCCGGGATCGAGTCCCGCATCCGGCTCCTTGCTTAGCAGGGAGTCTGCTTCTCCCTCTGACCCTCTCATTTTCTCTCTCGCAAATAAATAAAATCTTAAAAAAAAAAAAAAAAAAGAGGTTGGAACAGCACATATCACCGTAGAGTTAGTCTGTGCAATGAAAATGTCCTTAATAGAAGTATTTTAGTAATGCACCACAGATAAACAGCATTTCTGTTATGTGCCACAAAACCAAGGACAAGAAGTACACCGAATTAAAGCGATACCTGTGCATTGGTACTAATACTCTGTTTCGTTATAAATAATTAGTGGTGAGTCTTTCATAAAATGCACGTTAACTTCACGCACAGGTGAAGAAAAAAAAAACCCTCCAGTCTTCTGATGCCCCATTTTAGCCTAGCAAGTCAATCCACTCTGCCACCAGAAAGGAATACTATACATGAGATCAGCAAATGGTGCCTTACCCAGGACAAGTGACCATTTATTTACAAGACAGGTCTTAGAGAAACTCTCAATCCCACTGGACTGGATGTGACGTGAACAGACAGCTCAGCACATGCCTGAATAAATGGTTCAGAACAATCAAGAAGCCAAATCTACTACAGAAACCTCTGGGTTCCTTGGGTCAGGGTCCCCAAGCCACGCAAGTATCTCTAACAGAATGATTCTGTTATCCACGGCACATGGCCAATGCTTCATTTAGAAACGCTCTTCAACTGAACACTCCTGTATAAATCACTCTCCATTTTTACTTCCATGGGCATGTGACAAACTTTAATAAACAGGGACACTTCTGCCAGATTCAATTAACTCTTCAAGCACCTTTAATCCCTCTTAGAAAATACCTCTTCAAACCGTTTCCACAGTTCCTTAGAAGCTCAACTATATAACACCTACTGATTTAAGAATTAATTGAAGGAAAAACAAAGCCAAACCAAGCATCCAAGTCAAATCTACTCGGCTGACAGGACCAAGAGCACTAGGTTCCTTTCTAATTCAACACAGACAAAAATACTCCAAACCGGAAACACAACCCCTTTTGCAGGTCACCATCACAAAATCCCTCATTCATAAAGACCCATAGTTTACATGGAAGAGAATCTGCTTGTTCTAGGATCAAGGGACTCTGAAAGGCTTGAGAAGTAAGGAATTCTATGCCCTCTATATAAGTGTAAAGAGGACCCTACAATAAACTTGACTCAAAACCTTGACTCAAAGACTGGAATAGAGCTACTTCTAAATTCCACAAACTTTCTCAAAGACTTCTATTTTTTCTCTGTCCTTGGGTATTTCCTCACCCAGCCCTACCCTCACCTAACTATAAACATTCTCCCAAATAATTACCACACTAGATTTGAAGTTTTCCCTTCAGAGTCCTAGTCAAAATGGAATTAAACTACACTTCTGGTATGTTACAAATGAGAGAAAATTGTTAAAAGAACACAAATCTTATTAGATTAATATTCCACTATTAGGGTAATTCTTCGAATGGCTAAATGACAGGAAGCACTAGCAGAGAGAAAGAGTCTTTACTGATCATTGATGAATAAGACAACTAAGAGTATTATCAGGTTGAAAGTCAACCAACCAGCATATCCTTTGCTTAAATGGGTAATTTTTTTCTCAAAGGATGTTTTAGAAAAGGTGAGAAACCAAAGGAACAGGCTTAAAGATTAGGATGCCTGATACTTTGATTTATTTGAAACTCAACTTAACTTTATAAGATAAAAATATCACACAGAGGGCGCCTGGGTGGCTCAGGTCATGATCCCAGAGTCCTGGGATCGAGTCCCACATCGGGCTCCCGGCTCAGTGGGAAGCCTGCTTCTCCCTCTAACCCTCTCCCCTCTCATGCTGTTTCTCTCTAATAAATAAATAAATAAAATCTTAAAAAAAAAAATCACACAGAGGCACTGGTATGCCAGAAACATTTACAGTTTATCCCAATGTGGAACTTAATTCAGAAGATAGGATAACTTAATATCATTGCTCTTAGCAGATTCTTTAACACTGTAATCGAGTTTCAGATTTTTTCCCAAAAGCTTAAACAATTCTGAGTCAATACACATAAGTAATCTAAAACTTTACTTTAAAGAGAACGTTACGTGCAAAGGGTAAATACTTCTGTTCCTTGGTTTGGGAGAACAGGCCAATAGTTTAAAACTGCCACAAAAAGAATTTCAAATGCCTAAACTTGAAAATAAGGAATAAGCAAATTACACAGCACAGTGAAGCACACTTAAACATCTAACTGCTCCATCTACCAAGTTTATAAACAAGTTCTCTGTGAACCATAAGGCAAAACTCACATTTGCAGACACTACTAGTGGATACAAAAGCTCCTGTAAATTAATTTCCCAGTTCCACACACTATATTCACATCCCCCAAGCTTGCAAAAGTTCAAAGATTTAACTAGAGAGTATCCTTTAAAAACTGGTCACCAGTGGGTATTTCTAGAGAGTGGAACCAGGAGAGGTAGGGAAAAGAGTGACGAGAGGGAGACACACACAGAGCGAGGTGTTCGCTTTACTTACATTTACCTTGTTCAGAACTGTTTTAGAGCAAATGTTTAACCCTTGTCAAAAGAGTTTAAAAATAGAAGTCTGACAGCCCCGCTCTCCTAACCCAGCTAAACTAAAACTAGGACTCAAATCTAGAACAGTGACTAACAACTCTTACCATTTCTTCTTTTTGAATAGCCTTTCTAGAGAGTGAAATGTGCATATGGAAAAGTGCCCATAACCCAACAGTTTGCTGAAGTTCATGAACTGAACGTACCCATGGTACTGATACCGAGGTCAAGAAAGGAAATAATACTGGTACCCCAAAAGTACTCCCCGTGCTTCCTCAGGTCACTTCTCCCTCAAGACAGCTACTATCTTTTTTTTTTATTCTTATGTTAATCCCCATACATTACATCATTAGTTCTAGATGAAGTGTTCCACGATTCATTGTTTGTGCATAACACCCAGTGCTCCATGCAGAACGTGCCCTCCTCAATACCCACCACCAGGCTAACCCATCCTCCCACCCCCCTCCCCTCTAGAACCCTGTTTGTTTTTCAGAGTCCATCGTCTCTCATGGTTCGTCCACCCCTCCGATTTCCCCCGCTTCATTCTTCCCCTCCCGCTACCTTCTTCTTCTTCTTTTTTTTTTCTTAACATATCTTGCATTATTAAGACAGCTACTATCTTAACTTCACAGAATATTTGGCCACTAACAAGTCTCTTACTTCATTTCCTCAATTCTTCATGTTTAAAGCAGATTTTAGAAACTGATTTGTTTCCTACTTTTCCAGATGAAGAGAAATCATCACTCTTTTATTCAAAAAATATTTACTGAGCACCTACCATGTGCCAGGTATTAAAACTCAGATGATGACCTTTTACTACTTTACAAAAGAAATTCCACTGGATAAACATCAAAAGGAACGTGACAATATTTAAAGAAACCTGATATAGCATATTTAAACTAGTTTATTATAAGGCTACTTATACCAAAAACGATATGCAGTATTTGATGTCAAGAAGTCATATGAAAATAACCTTGGCCCAGGGCCATTTTCTGACACGATCCATTTAGGATGTTAGCAGTTCAAAGAGTCAGAATCTTGGAGTGCAAAAAACCCTTGGAAGAAGCCTTCCTCCCAAAGCAAGAACCCCTTCCAAGATATCACCAAGAAATAAGCATCCAGGGGCGCCTGGGTGGCTCAGTCGTTAAGCATCTGCCTTCAGCTCAGGTCATGGTCCCAGGGTCCTGGGATCGAGCCCTGCATCGGGCTCCCTACTCAGCGGGAAGCCTGCTTCTCCCTCTCCCACTCCCCCTGCTTGTGTTCCCTCTCTCACTGTCTCTGTCAAATAAATAAATAAAATCTTAAAAAAAAAAAAGAAAGAAATAAGCATCCAGCTTCTACTGAACACCTCCAACATTGGGGAGTTTCTTATTTTGTTAAAAACGCTGCGTTGGAGGGGTCTTCCTTATGCTACTTCCTTTTAGCTGCCCCTCCCCAACTGGCTGAGTTTCTCCTCCACTTAACAGTCATTCGGTATTTGAAGACAGCTGTCATGTTGCTTGTTCACAGTCCCTTTTCCAGCCTCATCATCCCCAGACATTCCCTTGTTCTTTCTGGACTCCAATCATTCCTTCATTCAATAAATCCCGAACACTGTCTCCCTGGGAGCAAAGGCTCCTTGCCTACAGGGAGGCTAATATTTGGTAGGGGAGACAAAGTAAATAATTTCATATATCCACACACATACGCAGACACACCCACTTCTTACACAGTAACCGTGATGAAGTCTATGATAACAGAACAGTAAAGGCCACGGTTAGAAATTACACTAAGGGATCTCATTTACAGCGGTGGGGGTGATCTGAAGAAGGAACATCTAAGCACACAACAGAAAAGTGGAATGACCTCAAACACTGGAAGAGGAACACAGGAGGTAGCAGGAAGTGCCCTGTGTCATCATCCTGAGGCAAGAGAAGTCTTGGTGCACACGAGGAAACTCAGAGGGCCAGTGTGTCACGGAAGAGACACAGAGAGAGTGTGGAGAGGTACGCAAGACTGGCAGAAGGTGTAGGCAGGGGCCAGCCAGACCATCTGCAGCCTTCAGACCACATGCAAAGTTCTGGATTAGATTTTAAATGCAGGGGAAAGGCGGTTTCAACACCCTTTCACTGTCTTGGCTGGTTTTTACTCTATGTATATTCCAATTTCTCAGCATCTCTAAAAGCGGATTACATGCTCAAGATACAATCGTTCTAGTACAGACTTCAATGAAACGGGGACTGAGACATTATTTTTTTTAAATATAGCTACAAGGGATGCCTGGGTGGCTCAGTCAGTTAAGCGTCTGCCTTCGGCGCAGGTCATGATCCCACGACCCTGGGATTGAGTCCCGCATTGGGCTCCTTGCTCCGCAGGGAGCCAGCTTTTCCTTCTGCCTGCCGCTCCCCCTGCTTGTGTGTGTCTCTCTCCCTCTCTCTCTCTGAAAAATAAATAAATAAATCTTAAAAAAATATAGCTACAAGTTGCAAGTGACTTTTATACTCAGGTTACTATTTATTTAAATAAAACAGAAAACAAAATTCTTTTTCAGATGAACTACTGAAAAATCATATCTCCCCCATACTTTGGTAACTGTTTCTATAACCGAAATATAAGAAACTGCATATATTAAATTGGAAAAATGGTCTTCCTTTGGGAAAAAGTGAAAGTAATAATGTGCATAACATTTCATGCCTTCTCTATCTTAACCTGGGATGATGTTTTTCATAATACTTATAAACCCTCTCCATCCAAAGCTCTTTACTGGGACTCCAGCTTGCCAGGGGGACTTACCTTCTACCACATCCCTCTTGTAATCACTGTCATTATCACTATCTGTTGGCCGGTAGTAGATATAAAATCCTTGAATGGGAGTATTATTGTTACTTGATGGAATGTACTAAAAAAAAGAGAAGCAAAGACTTGTCAAAGACAAAAATAAATGTAACTTTCACAGCCATGAAGATTCATTTCTCTGTGCGGCGATATTTTTCTAGCTTCATTTTGCAAACATCCTTGATGCCCATTTTGAATTTAACTCAAAGGTAGTCAAAGGTATTAAGAGCATTTAGTTTTCTGTTGGGCTGAGCAAAAATAAAGTAGTATATTTCATAAGGTTCAAAGGCATAAAAGGACATTTAGTTCAAAATGAATAAATCTTGGGACGCCTGGGTGGCTCAGTTGGTTGCGCATCTGCCTTCGGCTTCAGGTCATGATCCCGGGGTCCTGGAATTGAGTCCCACGTTGGGCTCTCTGCTCAGTGGGGAGCCTGCTTCTCCCTCTCCCTCTGCCTGCCACTCCCCCTGCTTGTGCTCTCTCTCTCTCTCTCTCTCTCTGTCAAATGAATAAATAAAATCTTTAAAAAAAGAATAAATAAATCTTGAAAGGGCAATTAACACTTGGATGAAAGCTGAGGAGACAAGTGTATTTTTAACCCTGCCCCACTTATCACATGTGCTTTTAGACAAATATCTGTGCCCTTCAATTTTCCTATTGAAAATTTTAACTATTTTAATAGCTAAAGACATTTGCTATTCGTAATATCATGTCATCAGAATAGTAAATCGACTGTTAACACAGCCAAACACTTAAAAATTAAAAACATTTGCTACTCATAATATCGTGTCATGAGACTAGTAAATCGATCGTCAACATGGCCACATGAGAAAGCATCTCTTTAGAATAGAGGTCCCACTTACCGTCCACTTCAGCATGATCTGAGTATCACTGACAGCTTCGGTGTAGGCGATGTGAGGCCCGGTGATGGGACGGTTAGAAAAACGATTGGGAAACCCAGCCACCTGATAAGGACGAGACGCCGAACTCCGGAAACTCTCACCATAATGGTTGATGGCAATGACCCTAAACTTGTACGTTGAACCTTTTGAGGGAGGAAAGAAACCAGTTTTTAAAAAACTTGGCCATATGACAGCTGAAGGTACGGCAGTCAAAATAGGACAACTGCGTTCCAGTCTCTACGCTAACAAACACATCCTCTGAAGCCTATACAGTAAACAGATTTCAACCCACTTGCCAGCCAATGGCAGTGGATGTTCATGATGATCCAGATTCCAAGAGCTTATGAGGAGTCACCGGGAGACAATGCCACGAAAGATTAATGACGTCTGTCACGGAAGGGGTCGGTGGAGAACAGGAAAGAGCACGTTTACTTTCTTTACCGTCATGTTCTAAAGTCATAACCATCAAATACAGTATTAGTTGAAGTATCTGTGCTCAAAACTAGGTTCTTTTCCCTTGAAAGAAACAACTGAAGTGAAGTTTAATACGGCGAATACACTTCAGAAGGGGCGCTCTGTGGGTGTCAGCAGATGACACTCTGATTTCACCAAGAATAGGATAAGAAGGAGCAGATCTAAACTACAACAGAAGGCACTTATTTGTATTACATACTAAGAACTTAAAAAAAACTCTAAGGATTGTGAGTTTCTGAAGCTCTGCATCTAAAGAATAAATTAGACTCCTAGAGCACGTTTCCTGATGGCTCAGAAATGACCACTGGGCTTCTGAAGACGTTTTCTGTCTACAGAATGCTATTTAGCTTCACCCACATTTAAAACTTGTCACCTTCTCCCAATGATACCTACAGGCTCCTCTCTTTACCTGTTTAGAGAAACACAGGCATTTGCCGCTAAGTACATCTAAACGTCCATAAACAAAATGGTCAAGAAACCTAAACATATAAAAGCCACAAAAGTGTATTTGTGATTACTGCTTTTCTCTTGTGCGGTTTAACTTCCCGCATACAGCCTCAAGATACTGGGGTGACAGGGGAGTGGTTGGGGGTGTCCTTCTGCTGAAACAAAACTTAGAGAGCAAAGAAGCATTAAGTGTTCTCTCGTTTCCATAAGCCTAAGCACTAAGTATAACTATGCTGCAATTCATCATTAGATCAAACAATTTTAGTCAAATAACAAGCAATTTTCCTCTTCAAACATGTAATCATAGCAAAACACCTATACACAAAGATATCACTGCAACGCTCTAAGTTATTGACAATTAAAAATAATCCAAAACCCAGAAAAAAGAATGGGTTAAGTAAATTATACTATACTTATACAGTAGATATATGGTTATTAAAAAACTGAGTTTCTGAAGAATTTTTAATGACACTGGAAAATGCATATGATATAACATAGGGAAAATGGGGTCACAAAACAGTATTTTCAGCATGATCCCAGTTTGTATTAAAAAACAAAAAGGCTACCAAAAATATACCAAAGTGTAAACAATGCTTATCTCTGGATGGGTGGGCTTCGGGTGACTTATTCTCTTCTTTCTAGTTTCTTTGCTTTCAAATTTTCACACAATAGGCTCCTATTACTTTAACAATTAGAAGAATACAAAATCATTACAAATATGCATCTAAAGTCAGCACAGGGCACCTGGGTGGCTCAGTCGGTTGAGCATCTGCCTTTGGCTCGGGTCGTGATCCCGGAGTCCTGCATCGGGCTCTCTGCTCCATGGGGAGTCCACTTCTCCCTCTGCCCCTCCCCCTACTCATTCTCTCAATCTCTCTCACTCTCATGTTCTCTCTCTCAAATAAATAAATAAAATCTTAACAACAACAACAAAAATAATAAAGTCAGCACAGACAGCAAAAAGGGAAATGTTTGAATATTACTACCTGGCTCTAAGCTACGAACTTCCACAGAAAGTTTGGAAGGAGGGATATCTTCAGCTGCCACCAGCCAATCACTGGTCCTCATCCGTTTGTATTCGACCTTGAAGGCAGTGATTGGAGAACCCCCATTGGCCCGAGGAATCCAAGTGACATAGACGGAGGTCTCTGATGCCGTGGAGATGGTAGGCCGGTCAGGTGCCTCTGGAACTAAACACGGAAACATCCATTCCAATAACCCATGGTGTCAGAGACAAGAATAACTCAAATAAACTGAAAGGGATAAATCCCAAGGATCATTTCATTAAAGGTTCGTCACCAAACTTATTACCAGAGTTAATAATATTATGACTATCTTCCTGCCCTCTGTCAAAAGCTAACGGGCAATGCAATGGCCAAAAACAGGAAATAAGAGGAAGGAAAAGCAAGATAATCTATAAACTTGAGAATCAGCTCTAAAAAACTGAAAGTTAATGGTAATGAGAATAGTGACCATGCTACTTTGGATTCATAGCTCAACAGTGTATAAGTAATTATTCCTCGGTGCCTCAAGTCTGAATGTGGTTATAAGTTACAGTAAATGTTCAAAATTTGGTGTTATTTTGTTTAAATGTTTTTCTTTATCCATCCAAGCTACATAAAACACATTCAGCAAATGATCTACAGATTATTAGCTATTGCTATCATAGCCTATCTTAACACACCTCAAGCCTAGAGGAATGCTACTCCCAGAAAACAGACTGCAAGCGGTAGAGAGAGAGAGAGAGAAAATTTGACTAATAAATCAACAGGGATATTAATGGGAAGGGAGAATGCTGCGCAGGATGAAAGCAAGAAGACAGGGTATGTAGTTAAACAAAGAAAAGTGCTCTCAGCAATTAAATGATCCACCTGATCAGAAAAAGGGGATGAGAGAACCAATGTCTAGCAGTTTCGCACTGCCAAGGGGAGGGGATGTCCTAGCCCACAAGAGTCTAGAGTCCCATGGCAGGTAGAAACATCAGGAGTAGGTCCATCCACCATTTAAACCATGTACCTAATGCTTCTTGCTAACCAAGCGATCTTGTGGTTATAACTGGCTTCCCACTTGGTTCCTCCAAGGGAAGAATGCTGATAGAAACAATCTGGTCTGTGCGACGGTTACGGTGCAAATCAGTTAATCACCATTCTGGTTTACATCCATCCCCTGTGAATTTTGTACAAGTGAGCTGGGTCTCAGGATACTATCTTTGGGCTGGCTAACAATCAAGTGTCCAGAGCTGAAGGAGGAGGACCAGCTCCGGGCCGTGGTTATGCTAAGGGAGCCCTGTCTGTCTAGCCTGTGCCACATTCCTTAAGCAAGACCACTCTTGTCTCAACATCTCTTTAGCCCGAACACAAACACATAGGGAAGAACACAGTGGTGTTGCCATTTATGGTACCTGTATGGAGAAAATGGTGGCATTCTAAAAACAAATTGCATAATGGGTAAAAAGAGGAAAACGTTCAAAGCAGGCAACTTTTGAATGATACTTACTGTATTCCTTTCAAGTTAGAAAGCAATGGAAACAGAATGAATAGAACTGTTAGTGAATCTCTTTTTTGGTTCTAGATAACCAACAACTTCCTTAAACTGATTCACAGAAGGTTAAAACTCATCAAAAAACACACACCACAGATCAAATAGAAAAAGGTTATTAGGGAAAACAATCTCTACAGAGGAGAATCTTCAAGATCTAAAAGAAAGAGCATGTGACATAAAACAAAGACAAGCTGGAGTTTAAAAATCCAAATGTGAAGAACTGCTGGATGACCTCAGGCAAAGCTGTATGACCTCCATGAGCTCCAGTTTCCTAATCTGTAAAACTGATAGGCTATCTCCCTCATCAGGTTGTGGGGAAGATTCAAGAAATCACTTCTTAACAGCTATATCTGCCCAGATAACTCCAAACTTCCAGAACTGAATCCATAACCTGCCCCTAAAAATCCTGATTACCTATCTTGGTAAATGGTCCCTGGCCACCCCAGCCCAGAGTCACCCCATTTCTCCCTTTCATTCAGTATGGATTCAATTCCCTTTGTCCCTCTCCATCTACACTGTCATTCCACCCATTATTTCTCTAGCATCATCTTCAGCCATTCTCCTTTTCCCCCTCCTTAAAGTTCTTTAGAGTTCTTCATAGCTTTCAGGGAAAGGCTGAAATTGGAAGTACATCATACAAGGTACCCACCTGCCTCCCCCCACTCTGGCGTCACTCCCCACGGCAACCAGTCAAACCAAACCAATTCTCTAACCTCCAAACCTCTAAATGAAATGCAACATGTCCATCATCCATCTCTTTGCATAGGAGCTGTCTTTCCCTAGAACTTCTTTTCCTGTTCCTTCATCCATTCTTGTCTTCACAGCGGTCCTGTCTTCGAGGCTTAGCTGAGGGAGCCTCTCTTAACCACTACCTGCCTCCTCTACATAATCCTCTTGTGATCCCATTAACACTGAGGGTAGACTCTCAGGCATAATGAATCCAAATCATTATCATGGGTTCATTTGTCTATATTACCCCCTATATGGTTATTGACTTATTGTCTAGGTCATCCTCTATGCTCTAAACCCCCTGAAGGCAAGACTTACTTTACCTCCGCTGCAACAGCATTTAGTCCCTATCTACCAGAGTATGTTAAACAAATCATAAGGTTTTTGTTTTTCAGAGGGCAGCTTTATTCAGATAAAGCTGATACCCGTGTAAGTAATCTGCTTCAGGTAGCTCAACTGCTCCTCAGAGGTGAAAGTACTCAAGCAGAAGAGGCTCATGACACTGAAGAAGCAGAGGGGTTCCAGAAGGTGTTCAAATGTTACGACTTGCTTTTGTCTGAGACCAATTCATGAAAGACTGTAAAAATAGGGAAGAGAAGCTTGAACATTCTCAGAGCAATGAAATTTTAAGCCCTCCCTAGATGTCCTCCTAACACCTATTAACACAGTCACATAAAGTTACATTATGTTGTAATTGCAGAATTGATAATGTGAAATTTAAATACTAAAAAGAAGTCATTTGAAAACTGTATTGCTATGACATCTAAAAACCACTCAGTTGGGGGGCACCTGGGTGACTCAACTGGTCAAGCATCCAAGTCTTGGTTTCGACTCAGGTCATATCTCAGGGTCTTGAGATCGAGCCCCGCACTGGGCTCTGCACTCAGCGGAGAGTCTGCTCGTCCCTCTCTCTCCTGCTCTGCCCCTCCCCTTCTCTAAAATAAATAAGTGAATCTTTAAAAAATTAAAAATTAAAACCATACAATTGGCATGATACAGCAGTAAAATGGAGTATGACACTGATAAGATATAGCAATAAAACAGTATGGCATGTAATCGTTTGGTCAAAAAAACTAAACCTTACTGGGCGCCTGGGTGGCTCAGTCGGTTAAGCGACTGCCTTCGGCTCAGGTCATGATCCTGGAGTCCCGGGATCGAGTCCCGCATCGGGCTCCCTGCTCGGCA